TGTAGCAGTTACGTGCGCGCACACCACTGCTGGGGGCCTGGGTTCGGATCCCCGGCGCGCACCAATGCACCATTTCTCAGGCCATGCTGTGGCGGAAAAAAAAAAAAAAAAAAGGAGGATTGGCATGGATGTTAGCTCAGGGCTGACCTTCCTCACAAAAAAATAAATAAATAAAAACAAGGTTGCTGGGGCCGGCCCAGTGGCGTAGCAGTTAAGACGGCACACTCAGCTTCAGCGGCTGGGGATTCGCAGGTTCTGATCCCAGGCGGGCGCGAACCGACGCAACACTTCTCAAGCCATGCTGTGGTGGCATCCCACATAAAAAACAGAGGAAGATGGGTGCAGATGTTAGCCCAGGGCCAATCTTCCTCAGCCAAAAAAGAGGAGGACCGACAACGGATGTTAGCGAGGGCTAATCTTCCTCACACACACACACACACAAAAATGTGGTTGTTCGCTGACCGGCATGGTTCTTGGCGCTGGAGTTGGAGGAGCTGGCGCATGTCCCCCTGCTGGAGATGACTGATATGCAGGTGTAGGAATTGAAGGAGCACTAGGTTCTCTGGCAATGCTTTGTTGCAAGTCCCTTATTAAAGACAAAAGTGTTAGAAATTAATACAATTAAAAGAAACCCAACACATATAAAATACCAGGTCTTTTTCTTACTTCTCTTCATATATGAAACACAGAAAATAGATTTAAAACAATGATGGTATTTTAAAACACACTACATTTCTGTTCTTGACTAGAACTAACTTAAATCTTCTTTCTTCCTACTATTTAATTAAAGGAAGTTAGTTCTTATTGTATTTCTGAAGACTAGGAAAAAAGATAAACTTTTTCGTAGATCACAGTTACAGCTAGAACAAGGAACACGTCAAACTGGGCAAGCGGTCCTAAAAGACTGCCCACTCTCTAATAAGAGGTCGTCCCCTAGATGAGAAACTCCTAACATAATAACCTATCTACAAGTTATCGAAAACTACAACCGTTCATAGTCACCTGGCTGATATTTTAATCACTGTTATCATATTAGTGCTTACAAAAAACAAGTGAGAAAGCTAACCTATTCGACTACGTGAATTTCTTGATGAAAACTTTCTGAAGATATTCAAAGAAATGTGGCATGGAGATACTGTATGTTAAAAGATACCTCATAATCTATTACTAAGGTAAATTCATGAAAGATAGATTATTGAAAGGATCATTAAAATACAGTATTAAAATTAGAAAAATATTTTCAAGTCCCCTCTAACAGTAAATTGGAATCCATTCTAAAATCTCACTAAACAAAACCTTAAGGTAAAATGCATTCCATGAATACATGGTCAACTTCTCACTGCACTTATTCACATACACAGAGAAGGCAATATCACATGTCCTGCAGAGTCTGTGACAGCACCTGTTATCCTGATATAACAATTCATAGCAACTCCCAGAGTCCTCAAGACCACATTTTCACTCTCAAAAAGAGACCCACTGGAAGATAAATTAGTCACTCCATATATAAAGAAAACTAATATACATTCATCGAGAAGCCAAAACTACTTCTTAATGTTTGTAAGTTTGTAATAAATGCTTACAACATAATCTAGAAGTTTTTAATCAATGTTAAAATTCAAAAAGCTCATATTTTGCAATATCTTCCATATATATGTATATATATCATACATATATTTATGATATATATATCATATATAGTAAATACATTTAATTATATATACTATTTTATATTTTAATTGTTTATATAATTATAGTAATTATTTAGATATTTGAGTATATTTAATCATAAATGTATCTAATACATATAATATAAACCCTTAACATAATACTTATATTTTCCTTTGATAAACTCCAGAGATGGTTGCAGTAAATAACACATTTATAGGACAAATAAGAATTTCCTAGTCACTTACTAATTATATAAATCAAAGCTATTAAATCGTAAGACTAATAATATAAAAAAAGCAAAAATATATGAAATAAAATGCCGCCAGTATTCTAACGCCCATCATTACTGACATTAGTTTTATTTTTTTATTTCCTTTTTTATATTTAATTATTTTATTGAGGTCATACTGGTTTATAACATTGTGTAATTTCAGTTGTACATTATTATATATTGGTTTCTGTATAGACAGTTTCTGTATAGACTGTGTTAACCACCAACAGTCTAGTTTTTGTCCATACTGACATTAGTTTTAAATCATTAGTGAAAAGAAGGTAAAGGTCAGAGTAAAACATTATTCTTTTTGCACACTTTATATAAAGAGGACATCTTAGTTATCAGGGAAATGAAAATTAAAACCACAATGAAATAACACTATACATCCACCAGCATAGCTAATTGCAAAAACACAGAGTAACCAGAACTCTCATACATTGCTAGTAGGAATATAAATTAGGACAACCACTTTGGAAAACTGTTTGGCAATATCAACTAAAGCTCAACATACACATACCCTACAACCTTGCAATTCCACTCTTAGATACATATACCCAACAGCACTGCATATATATATATATCACCAAAAGCATGATCTAGAACTAGCCACAGGTAGCTATTAAGCACCTGAAATGTGGATAGTGTGAATTGAGATGTGCTGTAAGTGGAAATTACACACCAGATTTCTAAGACTTAGTGGGGGGAAAAAAAAAGTAGAATATCTCATTCACAACTTTTACATTGATTATATGTTGAAATTATACTATTTTGAATATATTGGGCTAAACAAAATATTTTATTGAGATTAATTTCACCTGTTTCTTTTAACTTTTTTAATGTGGCTATTAGAAATGTTAAACTTTAAATTGTATATGTGACTGCATAGTATTTTCACCATACAGATGTAGCTTATTTATTTCACCAGCCCTGGACATCTGATTTCTTTCTATTCTTTTACTGCTACCAGCAACACTGGACAGTTGTGTTTTAGAATACTCAAGCCCACCCTATTTATAATATAGTAGCCAAAACTAAAAACTGAGACTCAATAACAGTAGAACAACTAACTTGTAGTATATTCCCACAATGAAATATATACAGAAATGAAAATAAAAGATCTACAACTACATACAACTATATAGATGAATCTCACAAATGTAACGTTGATTGAAAGCCAGTCACAAAAGAGTACATATGATTCTACATATATACAGTGAAAAAACAGGAGAAACCAGTCTATACTCTCAGAGTCAGGATAGTGGTTGCCCTGGGGGAAGTGGGTAATGACCTGGTAGATGCAGGAACGGTGCTTCTGGGGTGCTGAGAATGCTCTGTGTAATGATCTAAGTGCTCAATGCATGGGTGTATTCAGTTTGTGAAAATTCAACAAGATGCACATTTACGTATACTTGTGTTTTTATTTTATAGTCAATAAAAATGTTTTAAAGAATTCAGGCCCTGATTATTAACAGTGATTTTAACAAAATAACCCTCAGATTTTTAAAAGCTAATTTAATGACTACTTGGCCTAGTTTTCCATCATTTATTCACCTTTTGATCACTGAGCTGAAACCACTAGACAAGCTGATGACTGTCTCAGAACTGATTTCGTTTATAGTATAAATATAGAAAATACACATGCAAATAGTAACAAATTTTCAAACTAGAGATTTGAAATATGAAGTATTTGAAAATGAAAATATCCAAAAATTTCTTCCTAAGCCATGAACTTTTATTATGCTATAAAATTTTAAAAATAGTTATGTTAGCCCATTTTACACTAAAGTTTTAAATGGAGAAACAGTCCAACTAGAAAGTCAATTATCATGGACAACAAAATGATTTCAACCAAGGGTTGGCAAAACTTTGTGTAAAGAGCCACACAGTAAATATTTTAGGCCTTGTAAGATACAGGGTCTCTGTAACAACTACTTAACACTGCTCATGTTAGTGCAAAAGCAGCTGGAGACAATACGTACAACACGAAGAGCGAGGGTGTGCTCCAATAAAACTTTACTTTCAAAAATAAGTGGCAGGCTGGATTTAGCTTGGGTGCTGTAGTTTGTCAATGTCCAAGTTAAACTTAAAAATCTTTTTCAGCTCTCTTAGTCCTGAGCTACACAATTTAGGGTTCTGTACAGATGTTTCAATAGCTGCTGGGTGGAAGAAGGAAAGGAAAGGAAAGAGGGACAAAAGGTCCTGCTTCAAACCCTGCTTGGATCTGAGCCAGATCTGTTTTACAAACTGGGCTTCTAAGAAGGTGTTTGATGGGCCGGCCCTGTGGCTTGGTGGTTAAGTGCGCGCGCTGCAATGCTGGTGGCCCGGGTTCGGATCCCGGGTGCGCGTCGAGGCACCACTTCTCCGTCCATCCTGGGGCCGAGTCCCACATACAGCAACTAGAAGGATGTGCAGCTATGAAGCTATGACATACAACTATCTACTGGGGCTTTGGGGGGAAAAAATAAAATAAATAAAATCTTTAAAAAAAAAAGAAGGTGTTTGAACAAAGGATTCTGCAGCTCAAAAAAAAAGCAGGCGACAGGGCATGAACACAATATGAAAAATAAAAATCAGACAACTTGGTTGTGACTATAAAAACATACGAAGTCTCAATAATTGTTTAGATTAATTTAATCTAATTTTCTGAAAAGGTAATATACTCACTTGATTCAAAAACCAAAAAGCGAGTGATAGATCCCTATCTGCAAGTTCCCACTCTACCATTCACTCCCCCAGATATCCACTATTCTTTATTTCTTATGAACCTGTCCAGAGCTGCTTTATGCATGAATAAGCCAATTCAAATCTATATTTTTATTTTCTCCCTTTTTACACAAAAAGCATACTTTACACTGTTCTGTATCTTCCTTTTTTTTTTCTTTTAACCATAACTATCTTACAGATCTTTACATATCAGTAAATAGAAAACATCCTCTTTTCTTAAAAAGTAGTTGCATAGTATTTCACTGCACAGATGCAGCTTTATTTATTTCACCAGCCCTGGACATTTTTTCCTATTCTTTTACTGCTACAAGCAACTTAGAAACGAATTAGCTCATAAATATGTCATTTCTAACATATGCTAATATATCTTCAGAATAAATTTTCAAAAACAGAATAGTCGGGTTAAAGGATGAATGGGTTTGTAATCCAAACCTTTACAGTTAGACTGCCCCACACAAGGACTGTACCAATGTGTACTCTCACAGCAATGTATGAGATCTGTTCCCTCAAGTGTGCCAACAAAGCATGTTACATCAACTTTCAGATTTCTGCCAATCTAAAAAATGTCATTTCAGAGTAATTTTAATTTGTATTTATTTTATATTGAATGAGGATAGGTATTTTTTCATATGCTTAAGAACCACTTACATTTCCTCCTCTGCAAAATTTCTGTCACATCCTTTGCCAATTTTTCTATTGGGTTTTTTTCCTGCTTGTTAATGTCTAGTTCTTTTTAAATTAAGTAAATTTGCCTTTTGCCTGTGAATAAGTTTCAAATATTTTTCCCCAATTTATTACATTTTGACTCTGCTTATCATGTTATAATGAACTTACCCCTTTTTTAATAGCTTCTGGATTTTAAGTCACAATTAGAAAGAGCCTTCCATTTCAGCTTTATTAAGGAATTCGCTCTTTTTTTTTTTTTTTATGTATGCAGTACTTTTTTTTTTTTTTTTGGTGAGGGAGATCAGTCCTGGGCTAACACCTATGCTAATCCTCCTCTTTTTGCTGAGGAAGACCGGCTCCGAGCTAACATCTATTACCAATCCTCTTCCTTTTTTTCTTCCCCAAAACCCCAGTAGATAGTTGTATGTCATAGCTGCACATCCTTCTAGTTGCTGTATGTGGGATGCGGCCTCAGCATGGCCGGAGAAGCAGTGCATTGGTGCGCGCCCGGGATCCAAATCCGGGCCGCCAGTAGCGGAGCACGCGCACTTAACCGCTAAGCCACGGGGCTGGCCCTCTCATATTCTCTTTTAAACTTTACGTTTCACCTCACGTATTTCAAGTTTGATCCATTTAGAATTTATTCTGGTATAAAAATAACTTTCATTTTCTAAATAGCTAGGCAGTTGTCTCTAACTTCTTCTGACTGGTTTAGGATCTTTTTTACACTAAATTCACATATGTATTTGAATCTACTTCTATTTTCTATGCTGTCTTTGGTCTGTCTAACCATGTACCTGTATTACTGTGTTTTAATTAGAGACAATATTATATATTTTAATATCTGGTGGAATTAGTTTCCCCTCACTCTCCTTTTTATTCAGTTTTCCTGGCTAATCTTGTTTGACTGTTTCTACTTCAGCTTTAGAATTAACTTGACTAGTTTTAAATGAAAATCTGTTGATTTGTTTTTTAAATCAAAATTGTGTTGAATGCATAAGTATATTTAGAACTGACATCTTTATGAAGTTGAGTCATCCTATCCAAGAACATGATACGTCTTTCAACTTCCTCAACTCCTCTTCCGTGTCCTTGAATAGTGCTTCAGTTTTCTTCATACAGGTCTCATATATGGCAAACTTATTCCTATGTATTTTACCTTTTTTTTTTGCTATTGTAAGTGGGGTGTTTTCCTCCATTATATCTTCTATATATTTATTTATATGAAAGCCATTGATTTCTACAAATTATTTTTATGATCGACTATCTTCAATAATTTTTTTTATGGGGTTGATTCTCTTGGATTTTCAAGTTGTACAATCAAAAAGTCTGTAAGTAGTGACAGACTTTACCTCCTCCTTTCCAATTTTTATATTTCTAATTTCCTTCTCTTGTCTAATTGTGGTGGCTGGTACTGCCAATATAATACTAAATAACAGTGTTGATGGTGGGAATTCGTTTGTCTGTCCCTGCCTTTAGGGGGAATGTTTATAGTGTTTCTCTATTAACCATGATGCTGAGTTTTGTACACACACACACCCCTCTCATGTTGAAGAAGAACCCATCTACTCCTATTTTGTTGAGTACCAGAATAGTTATTCTCTCAAATGCTTTTTCCTCATCTATGAAGGGAATCTTTTACTCAGATGTAAAAATACTGAACCAATCATTGCATTACTGGAATACCCACTCCCTCCTCCTTGGTCATGGTTCTTTTTTAACACACTGGTGAGGTTCAATTGCAAGTATTTTATTTAGGACTTTCACATCCACATTCATAAATGAAACTGCTCTGAAGACTATGTTTTGTTTTAATCTTTGTCAGATTTTCTTCTCAATAAGACTAATTTGGAGGTTTTTTTTTTTTAACCTCTGGAATCATTTAAAAAACATTCTAATTATCTGCTTTTTAAAGGATTAGTAGAGAAACTGTAAAAATAACTGGCCCTGCTCTTTCTTGGGGGTGGAGGGAGGTAGCTCTTTGATAACTTCTCCCACTTCTTCTATGGAAAACGGTTTAAACATGGACAGAGAGATTAATAATGGTTAGGTTGGCAGAAGGGTTCAAGACAGGCTCATGAATATAACAGTCTCTGAGTTCTTTATGTTCATTACTAATGAACACAGGGCTCTGTATATACCTAAGAACAGTGTGACTGGATATAAAATCTTTGGTTCACATCTGCTTTCCTTCAGTTCCAATAGCAATTACTCCACTCTCTTCTAGCACGCAATGCCACCAGCCTAATTTTTTTTTTACCTTTTTATAAACTGACTTGATCTTTCTGCTTGACTGCCTAAAGCATTGTCATTATCTCTTAAGGCTAATAATCTATATGCCTTGGTGTTGACAGTTCTCGTTCATTTTTCCTGACCATAAGATATATCCTTTCAACAAACCTTCAATTCTTTTAGGAAAACGTTCTTGAGTAATATCACTAAATATTTGTTCTGTTCACTGTTTTGGTTGTTCTTCTTTGAAGGGAATCCAATTTTGCATATACTGGATCTTCTTTACCCATCTTCTCTTTAATCCTGTTTAATTCTTTCTTTACTTTGGTTTCATTTTCTTTGATTTCTTCTTTTCTGTTCTGTGTTCTTGTGTTTTATTCACTGTCTATTCTCCTTTTCGCGCCTTCCCATTTCATCTTGTATCTGTGATGGTTCTGTTCTCTTCTACTTGTTTCCTGAATTCTGACACCTCATGTTTTATCACTTCCTATTTTTTCACCATCCCCCCTTGAGTTCTGGCATTTCTGTGCCTTAGAGTTCTTGGTGTTCCTTAGAGTGACTGCTTCCTAACCTTTTTCTTTTTTTAATTCATGGTGAAATATTCATTCAGAATTTTCATCTGTTCTGTGACAGTACCACTGTGGTGAATGTTCTTCATCTATTGTTTTGTCAAATTTTGTTCATTTTTTCACCTAAATAAATACAGTACCTTAGTATCAATGCTATGTCAACTCTTTACTGATTACTCAGCATGGAATGAGTCCTATGTTACAAGACCAGCCTTCTCAATAGGCTCCTTCAGAAAGTGATTTTGTCGATATTTTCTGAGCTATTCACCCTGACTTCTCCATGGTCTGTACATCCAGTTTTATATAAGGAAACTATTTGCCACTTCAAGGTAAACTGCTTATGTTTACTGGTATTTCCTGAGATCTGCCACCTGAGCTGTTTTGTTATCATTTCTGTGATACCACTATACTTCCTACATCTAGACGTTTTACTCCTTTTCATCCTTTTGTTCTCAGATTATGCAGCTTGCTTGTTGCTTTGTAAAATACCCAGGAGGAAAGGAAGGAAATTGCTATCTCATCTTGCCAAGTTCACCCCAAGAGCCTCCACAAAGGATTTTTTAAAAGAAAAATACTATAAGTATAATTTGATACACAAAACAAACTTACTTTAAGAGTTCGTCTCTTTCTGTCTTCCGTGCAAACACTATATCACTGCATTTGTTCTGGAACCTGACTAGGATCTCAGTCAGCTCATTGTAAAACTATACGCAAAGAACAAATACAAGCAATAAATCAGAATAATTTTTTAATCTAAGGAGGAACACAATCTAATCTAATCACTTGTCAGTAATGGTTACAGCTGAAGAACTAAACTCCTCTGCATGAGACATAGTGATACCACTTAAGTCCAACAACTTAATATTAAATACAACCTAAGATTCCTAAAGAAAATAAAAATAATAAAATCATTTTTAGAGAACACCAAAAATTAAATGACAACAAATTAAAAGTTTCATGATCTCAGTGAACATGTTCCCAATTCCTAGAGAAGAGTCAACTACTTAATCAAGACATTAAACCTATTTAAGTGGAAGGATTAGATTTGCACGTTCACTTCAGAAACGCAGGCATCATTTCAGAAACTCTTGAAGTATTTCCAAAGGCTCTCTGGAGAGTTTCCTCAGCTGATCTATTTCAAGAAAGCATTTTAAACCAAATTAAAATAGTGTTTTACTATCCTCTCTATTTGGAAGGCTTTGCAGTATTTCTATCCTCTCTTCAGAGGGTTTTACATTATTATCTACTGTACTTACATCAAGATAACTTTATTCAATAATTGTTATGGAGTTAAAGTACCAAAAAGAATTGTGTATCTGAAAAACTTAAAAATCACTTGTTCCCTCAAAAGGAAAGAAACTGGTAAGGACGAATATAAGTATTTCCCTAAACTATTTAAAAGAAAGGCAAGAAAATACTTAAACCATATTTAGTAAGCACTCTGAGACTCAGGCAGATCACAAGTCTATCATCCAACCATCAGCACAGAATACAAAAGCCATAACTGCCCCCCTTCCCCACCACAAATCAGCTTTGAATTCTCATGTTCCCTCATAATTCACTCAGATTGGTCAATTTTGTATCCCCTAAACAAGTGTCATTGGCTTTTGACATCTCTGTGCAAATTCCTGCTACCTTTCTGCTTGGTGAAATATACAATTCATTCTTCAAAGTTCCCATGAAATACTGCCACCTTCATTAAGCTTCTTCCCGCTTAAAACAAACCTCTCAGAGGCAAAAGTCATCAAAGCTAACAAATTTGAGATAAAGAATAATTTGGTCCAACTAGAAATACCAATTAACTTCCCAAACTGTATTTTCACATCTATACTGGTTAGCTGTTGTTTCTTTTGTACTTCATACCTTTGTGCCCTCCTTTAAATTAGCTACAAGTTCAACAAAGTTGTCATATGCAGTAGCTAAATTCTTCAAAACTTCTTCTCGTAAGTTAGCTTCATTGTTAGATTGTTTCATTTTCGAAAATTCCTGGTGTGAGACCTTGTTAAAAGAAAGATTTATGTATTTACATTATTTATCAAATTAATACAGCTCATCATATTTTTTTTTAATTTTTTTTATTTATTTCCCCCAAAGCCCCAGTAGATAGTTGTACATCATAGCTGCCCATCCTTCTAGTTGCTGTATATGGGACGCGGCCTCAGCACGGCCAGAGAAGCAGTACGTCGGTGCGCACCTGGGATCCAAACCCGGGCCACCAGCAGCGGAGCGCGCGCACTTAACCGCTAAGCCACGAGGCCCGCCCAGCTCATCATATTTTTATTGATACTTTTCCAACTATGAAAATCATATGACTACATGCAGGACTTACTAGAAATTTACCTAATATAATATTTCTTCTGGGGTAATATGGTACTTTAAATCTTTTCTTAAGTAAAAATATCAAAAATTCAGTGGGTGTCAAAATATAACCAATACTGACTACACATTTCTAATAATACGTAACACTTGCCAAAAACACAATCCTAAAAGGACATCAATTTAGTCCAGGCTTATCTTTTATGTAATTTTTTTAACATAAATCTTATTAAAGTATATAGACTTTACCTGAATATTTTTAAGAAGTTCTTCCTGTTTCTTTAGAGATTCTTGGACTTTGGCTGTAAGACCTCCATAGATTCGATCCAGTTCAGTAACAGAAAGAGCTTCTTCATTTATCACACCATCTTGAGCCAGAGCAGTCAAAAACTTGCTTGTCATGTCAAAATTCACAGATTTCAGGTCATTCTCCAGCCCCTCTCTTTCCTTCTTTACTTCATCAAGATTTGTCAATAAGGATTTTAAGACATTTACAACCTAAACAATGAGAAAAACCTTAATTGCCCAAAAAGCCAGAAGCCAATTTCAAAAACAGAATTACACACATAGGTTCATCCAGGGTCAGGGAGAGATGATTTCTCAGAAGGCCAAGTATAACCTGTTTATTTACATACAGATGTTGTACCTTATAGGTTCATCCAGGGTCAGGGAGAGATGATTTCTCAGAAGGCCAAGTATAACCTGTTTATTTACATACAGATGTTGTACCTTTAGTGGACTCAGATTATAAGAGCAGCAGCAGCAATAATGATAACAAGAGCAAGAGCTATGATTTACTGAACATTTATTATGTGCCAGGCACCACTCTAAACACTTCATGAATATAACAATGTATTCTTACATTTATTACCTCTATTCCATAGATGGAGAAACTGAGTCTCAGAAAAATTAAGTAACATGCCCAAGGTTATACAGCTACTAAAGGAGCAGAGGTAAAATCTGAGACCTCAGTCTGCCTACCTCCAAAACCAAACTTTAACCACTCAACACTATACTGTGTCCCTCTCATGACTTTGAGATAGGGGAAGGTATATTTTTGCTAAGTAAGTAGATACTCTATTTTGCCAACATAGAGAGATTGAGAGAGAGAGAGAGAGAGAGAGAGAGAGAGAGAGAGAGAGAGAGAGAGAGAGAGAGGGAGACAGACATAGAGAATAGAAACAGTGATAGAGATATACATGGAGAGAGCATGAGAGAGAGGTAGCGAGAAAGCTATAAACCATGTTTATTTTATACACTGGGAGAGAAAGAAGGAGAGAGGGTTCTTGTATATCTCTTCATATCATGAGTTTTACCTCTCTTATTCAGTCCGTGCAGTCTCTGACTAACATACACATGATTCATAAACACCCCTTTATGGTAAGACTGTTACAGTGTTCAAGTACCCTCTAATGCCACTTATAAGCTGCCCCCTTTCACTCACATCTCTTCACATTTTCTAGGGCCACCAGGGAGAACACCAACCCCAAGCCCCCTATTGTGCTTGCCCCAGTGAAGCTCACAGAAAAAAAGCTGAGGGAAAGACAAAGAAAGAAGACATATCCATGAACCCCCTCTACATTCCTGCCTTTCTTCTCACCAGCAGCATTTCCAACTCCAAGGGATCTCCTCACCTGCTGCCTGTTTCTAAGAATTTCTGCCCTACTCTTCATTCCACAGTCCTAGTCAGCTCCTTGACAGGAGTGCCCAGAGTAACCTTCATTTACGAAGACCAAAGACCTGAGGAAATGTTTAAAGTTTCTTCTAAATTTTACCACCCACATCTCCTAAGTGTCCTAACTTAAATTCAGTCTTTTAACATTCAGAGCAGTGGAAAGAAATACAACTCCTAGAGGTCCAAGAAGCATCAAACCACAGACACTCTAAAAGGAAGGAAGAAGAGAAAGAATCGTACCTGGATGGACATGGCAAAAGCTGTTTTAAGGGATCGGGTAGAATTTGATGTTAGACAACGTGGTAAAAATCTTGCTTCCAAATGACTTCCAGGATACAATGTTAAATGAAAAAAAAGGTGCAAAAGCGTATATATAGAACGTTGCATTTTGAGTAAGAGAGAAGGGAAATCAGAATACAAAAATATACACACATATATTATCTATGTACGTGTCCATATGTCTTTTTTGCAAAAAGAAAAGCACTAAGGAACAAACCAGAAACTACTGAATATGGTTACTTACAGAGAGTGGATGGGAACAAGGAGAAAAGAATCGGGATGAGATTTCTCTTCACATACCTTTTGAATCATGAACATTTTTTATACATTCAAAACACAAAATTAAATCTAAACCTGAATAAAGAAACAAATGAACCTAGTTGTCCATCAAAGTGAAACATAATTACCTAGGAAAAAGACTCCAACTCTGACTATACTCCCTTAACGGAAGTAATGGACTCAGTTACTGTGTAACCAAGGGCAGGAGACTACTTGGAAAACAAGTAGTTTTCCAAGTTTCTCATCTGCAAAGCAAAAATAGTAATCTCAGGACTGCTGTGAAGACTGAAACAATCCATATAAAGTGCTCAATGTAATTTCTAACACAGGGTAAGTGTTCAATCAGTAGCAGCCATTATTATTAAGTGGTAGTTGTTTAACTCTATACTTTGGGTACATTATGGGCTAAAGAGGCCTAAGCATCCAAGCATTCAGACAGTAACAGAGGAACAATGAGCAAAGATTAAGAATTAAAGTATCCTTTCCTTTGCTGAATTATAGCTACTTCTGTAATTACGTGACACATTTTGTAATGGGGGTGATGCAACAGGATATAAATTTTGAAAGATACTGACAGTATTTTCTGTTAGCACATTTATGATAATGGAACCTCAACTATAACTTTGACCCTATGTGAAGGTTGTCTGGCTATTAGAAAAATAAGAAATATCATTTTTATCTCTCTATAAGTTATGTCCAATCAAAGCTAGAAAGAAAAAAAAAATTAGCCAAGTAAAATAAAGCTTGGGGAGAAACAGGAATATGCAGAACTGGTTTAAAAAAAAAGTCTAGTAAACAAAGCTGAAAGTCAGGAACACTATAACACTATTACCTTGAAATGGAGAGAATGTCTCTTACATAGTACTGAAACTAAGATCCTCTCATCAAATAACAGGCCAAAATTTTGGTGATAATACCCTTAGGTTAGCTAATAAGTAATATGAGAAGATACGCATGGTTCATATGGACACAACTTCATATTCAGAGAACTAACTATACACAGGGCAGCAGAATAATGTGGGAGAGAACCCCATTAGGACTTTAAGAATCACAATTTCCAATATCAGCTCCATTATGAAGGAAAGTTAACTTCCTTTCATGGCAGTCAGTTTTCTAATTGGAGTGGTAAACAAGGACCAAATAGCTATTTAATAAGTCCTATTCTATTCGAAAATGCTATGATTCTAAGTCTCTGAAAAAAATGCCATTTGAAACAACTGACTTATAAATAAACTTTTAGACCACCCCACAAAGATAGAAAAACATTCCTTGTACGACAAACATCCTCTTTTTTTTTTTAACTGTCATATATACTAGTTTAACTGTATTTTAGATTGCATGATACTGGCCTCATTTTAACAGAGTGAATACAGTAGAAAATGAATTAAACTGCTTCCAAAAATAAATTACCAGGAGAGTAAGAAAAGGAAACCACTACCTAAACTTTCTTATAAACTCAAGTTTGAGGCTTAATATGTTATCAAGTTAAAGTATTTAAATTAGAATCCCTATGCACCCCCATGTTCACTGCAGCATTATTTACAATAGCCAAGATATGGAAACAACCTAAATGTCCATCAACGGATGAATGGATAAAGAAAATGTCACTCACACACACACACACACACACAGCAATATTATTCAGCCATAAAAAAGAATGAGAAAATCTTGCCATTTGCAACAACATGGATGGATCTTGAGGGTATTATGCTGAGCGAAATAAGTCAGACAGAGGAAGACAAATACCATATGATCTTGCTTATATGTGGAATCTAAAACAAACAAAACAAAAAACAAGCTCATAGACACAGAGAACAAACTGGTGGCTGCCAGAGGGAGGTGGTGGGCGAAATGGGTGAGGGAAGTCAAAAGGCACAAACTTCCCGTTATAAAATAAATAAGTCATGAAGATGTAATGTACAGCATGGCAACTATAGTTAATAATACTGTACTATATTTTTGAAAGTTGCTAAGGGAATAAATCTTAGAAGTTCTGATCATAAGAAAAAAAAATTCCCTAACTACGAATGGTGAGCCACATTAACTAGACTTATTGTGGCGATCATTTCGCAATATGTACAAAACTGAATCATTATGTTGTATACCTGAAACTAATATAATGTTGTATATCAATTACACCAAATAAAAAAATTAAAAATTAAAAAAATAATTAGAGGGGGGCCGGCCCGGTGGCGTAGTGGTTAAGTTCACGTGCTCCACTTCGGCGGCCCAGGGTTTGCAGCTTCAGATCCCGGGCACAGACCAACACCGCTTCTCAAGCCATGCAGTGGCGGTGTCGCACATAAAGTAGAGGAAGATGAGCACGGATGTTAGCCCAGGGCCAATCTTCCTCAGCAAAAAGAGGAGGATTGGCTTTGGACATTAGCTCAGGGCTAATCCTCCTCACACAAAAAAATAATAATTAGAATCCTATACTATTTACTTCTGTCTTATAAACAGCTCCAATTAGCTTTCAACTGCAATTAATTGCATGCTTTTATTAAGTTAGGCTGCCAATGGTTATCATTCAATCAACAAATACTTTTTGAATCCTTATGTGTGGGATACTGTTCCAGGTTCTAAAATACAACTACTAACAAAAACAGACTCCTTTCCTTCATTTAGGGGGTTGTGGGGGGATTAAACAAATACACAAAAATAGAGTAATAAGGTAGACAATGACAAAGAAGGGGAAATGGTGACATCTGAGGCTTTAATGAAAACGAGGTAGTAGCCGTGCAAAGGGAAGAAAGACCCCAACAGAAGGAAAAGCAAATGTCAAAGTCCTGAGGCAGGAACAAGCTTAGCACGTTCAAAGGAAAGAAAAAAAGGCCAGTCTGGCTGAAGCATAGTAAATAAGACAGAATGCAGGGAGATGAGGTCAAACAGAAAGGCAGGAATGAGACCACCTAGGCTGTATGCATCTCATCTTTCAGACCAGGGGCTAGCAAATCTTTCCTGTAAAGGACCAGATAGAAAATATTTTTGACCTTGTGAGCCATAGACTCTGTTGCAACTATTTAATTCTGCCTTTGTAGTGCAAAAGCAGCCTAGACAAAACGTAAGTGAATGAGTATAGCTATATCCGACAAAAATTTATTTATGAGCAATGAAATTTGAATTTCATCTAATGTAAACATGTCATGAAACATTATTCTTTTGACTTTTTTTCAACCATTTAGAAATGTAAAGAGCATTCTTGGCTTGCAGGCCATACAAAAACAGGAGGCAGGCCGGATTTGGCCCAGGCCATTTTTGCCAACTCCCATTTCAGATGATTAACACTTTCTGTAGCATCAAACAGCACCAAACACATTTAGGCACATAAGAAACGCTCGCAATAAAATTTTCAACTTTACTTTTCAAACCCTGTCATTTTTTGTGTGTGTGTGTGAGGAGGACCAGCCCTGAGCTAACATCCAATGCCAATCCTCCTCTTTTTTTTGGCTGAGGAAGAATGGCCCCAGGCTAACATCCGTGTCCATCTTCCTCTACTTTATATGAGACGCCGCCACAGCATGGCTTCACAAGCGGTGCATTGGTGCGCGCATGGGATCCAAACCAGTGAACCCTGGGCCACCACAGTGGAGTGCGCACACTTAAGCTCTTGCACCACCGGGCGGGCCCTGTTACTTTATTTTCAGAAAAGGCAGACGTGAGAATATCTCTACAACAACAGAACAGCAGGAATCTGACTGCATTTACCCTACAATAAAGCTAACCTAGAGTTTTCCATCTCTCTCTGTTAGGGACCACAGTGCCATAGTTCCTGGCATATGGTAGGCCTTCAACAAATGTTTGGTGAACAAATGAATGAATAGATGCCAGCCACTCTCAACACTTGTCTATACACTTTCTGCTATGAAAAACTATGAGTAAAAGCTGTGTGTGCAGATCATTCCCTAGTCTTATAAGGTGCCTTTGTGTGAACCAGAAAAAGCACCGGGGGGGGGAGCACATAGCTTTGGACAGTGCTATTTTATGCACTACCTCTAAGGAAATTAAGATTTTTTTCAAAGGCACCCCTCCATCACCCCAGGCAGATGCAACACTGTGAGTATAAGTGCATATCACCTTTGTGCAAAGAAAAAGATGCCCCTACTTCTTTGCACAATCTTCTTCTTTGCACAAACTTCTTTGCACAAACTTCTTTGCACAAACTTCTTCTGGGCAGACTCGGCCCTACACTAGGGCCAAGGCTTGGCTGGCTAAGTGTAGACTAGATTCCAGACCCCAGGTGATCAGAGGTACACAATCACAAGCAGTGGTCCTAAGTATTTTAAAAAGGATCTTTAAATACAAATTACCAATAGCCTGCAAAATTTTTCAGAATATCTAAACCCAGATGCCCAAATAGAACAAAAAATAACCAGAAAGTAGGCTTCTTCATAATAAAAGAAAAAAACAGCCCTACTATTAAGTTTGAACCTCTTAATAAAACATGTACTTTGTATCACTTTAATACTCAGCAATTCAATGACTGAGTTATCATTAATGATAAAACTCACAATTTAATGATAAAATTTTAATTTAATCATAAAAGTTTAATCACAATTTAATGATAAAAACTCTGGCTAAAATGTGTCATCAACTACTATGACAGCTATCTGAAATAGCTTTGATAAACATGATGTTTGCCTTTTCTGATAAAGGCACATGAATAAATATATACAGCAATAAAAATGTTTTGGTTACCTCTATCCAGAAAATCTAGCTTCAGTAAAATAACTTCATATTGACTATAAAAGTTTTCTTCCCCTATGTAATACCACTATAGATTAGCAAAAGCAGCTATTACTACAACTGAATAAAATAACAAATCGGTGCATGCTACTTTTGACTTTGCTCAACACAAACCACTTTTGCTTTCCCACTGAAAGCAGGAGAATCAAAGGACAAAAGCCACAGAAGTTCTAAGTCATGCACAAGACAACAAAAAGAAAAAGGAGAAGATATGAAACTGTTCTTTTTTCTAAAATTAAAAAAAGGTCCAGAATTTGTTGCTATTCTGTGGATCTGAAGTCTCTGTTCTTCACAAATTAATCTTCTGACCACCTGCCTTTTCTCCCCCGTTTCCTCAAATCACCTAACTGATATTCTTGGTTCCATCTGGTTCCCTCCCCTCTAGAGATTCAGGTTCTGCGCACATTCAACTATGCAGTCGTCTCTTCACTTTGGGGGCTGGTTTCCACGAAACCTCTGGTAGCGTCTCTGGACACACCCACTCACTGGGTGTGTTTCAGATCCTACAGATGTATACTTTTTCTCCTGTCTACTCCGTTCTTATAATGAGCCAACTTCTTAAGAAGCCTCCTAAGAGAGGAGTTCCAAAATGCTAGAATTTAAGTACTTGGTCATCTAAATCCTCACAGAATACTTTCTATAGTTATAACACTTTTAAATTTCTGCCCTGTATTACAGTTATCCTTGTATGTGTCTAATCTTCCACAATGGACCATAAATTGAGGGTAAAGGCTGTGTATGATTCATTTGTTAATTCTTCCAAGTACCTAGCCTAGTGCCTTACACAGAGCTGATACCCAATAAGTCTTGGTTGAATAAATTAATGAAAGGCTTCTGTGGAAAGACAAATAAGGAACAACACTGATAACTTTTGAGAACTAGTGTCCCAGGAAATTCACCTTTTTCAAGAAGTTTTCAGCAATACTTCTTGCCCTTTGGCTTATCTTCCTGTGCACTTTAGAGCCTCTATCTTATCCTACTACATTACCTCACAGTGAACAGCCACTAAATCACACTTGCACTTTCTCCTCTTTTAGGACTTTCTGAATCAGACGCCACACTACTGATTTTCTCTTTCCTGTCACCAGTAGAAATGCCATGATGATGTTAACCATTTATTAATGGTTAACCATTCTTAATGATGTTAACCATTGACACCTTGTCAATCTTCCCTTCAGAAGGGTCCCAGCAGAACATGGTGGAAAGCAGTATAGAATGATGTAAGAAACAAAGAATTTGTGGTCAGAAGAGTATCTGGCCAAACCCAGTCCTTCCACTTCAGGGAAGTTTCTACACTTTCAAGCCTTTCTCTTTTATGAAACCTGAATTAAACACTGTAAACATATTAAGTATCTAGAATATAGTACTCAGCTCATAGGAGGCATTCAATAAATGGAAATTATTATTACAGGATAGTAATATTAATGGTATAATTACCTATTACACGGTATATATATCATGCTACTTTAAATATAACAACCTCAATTTACATCAGCATTTTTTAAAAGATGGCAATAAGAAAGAAATTGGCAATTCATTGTACGTAATGGCTTGAACACAGTTTTCATAAGCAGATGACCACCCACATCAAAATGCATCTTCTCACCTCACTGCCCTGCATGGTCTTTGCTGGGTTAGCAGAGGGGATGGCAGCATTCAGCTCAGGCTCTGGCTTACACAGAAGTGCAATCGTGTCACGGTGAGACTGATAACGTTCTTTCACTTGTCCATCTGCTTGCACAGCCTTATCCAAAACTGTTCTGAAATTGGTTCCCTCTGTGGGAAAAACAATGTTACAAGAGCACAGCATTGATTTTAACAGTAATGTTTATGGGCCGGCTGTACTTCTAGTTCTGTTCTCTAACTTTACTTTTTTCCCTTTCTATAGGCCCCAATTCACTAGATAGAAACTGAGCTCCCGTCATCACTGCATTTTTGTTTTTGGAAAAATGACAAAATCAATTACAAAGCCAAAGCACAAATATACCTTAAAATACATTTGTGGTTACTGTCCACCAAATAAAAGCTAATCGACATTAGCCTAATTTTTTCCTACAACTCATGAATATAGGAAGAAATCATTCACTCCAAAAATTGTTACAACTTAATTAAAATTCTGCCTCTCAAAGGATCACTGCTTCAAAGTGGCCTAAAAGAGGCAGTTATATTTTTAGAAAAATCTCAATAGTATTAACTCCTTTTACAGAGAAATAAGTCTCTAGCTACCATAAAGATGTCGTTTATCTTAACAAGCACAAAATCCTTATAATCAAAGTCTTAAAAATAATAATTTGGCTTCAAATTAACCGTTAAAACTCATCTTTTACCACCTGGGATTCACTACTAAGTGAAATGAAATTACAAAACCATTCATGTAATATGATCTCATTTATGTTTTTAAAATATGCACCGGGGTTGGAATAGGAAAAGAGAGTTATATAATCATTTTAATTTTCACTTTATACTCTTTTTAAGAATCTGAACTTTATATAATGAACATGGATTAACTTTATTTTTTTTATCTTACACTGAACTGAGGAAAAACACCGGGGTTTTCATAATAGCACACAGTTTCAGTAAAAAAAGGTTTACAACTGAGCCTAATTTAATCAAGCAAAAGATGCAAACTGGGAATTTATTCAAGTGGAAGTCATTTATGCACATTTTTACCTGCTCTTAAAGGCTTGTAGAGTTCACTGGATGGTGTCCTTTGCCAGCGTTCTTTGAATTTTGCTCTTAAATCATTGTCAGTTGCTTCTTCTTCATCCAACAATCTTAATGACTTTTAAAAAAGAGGCAAAGCAACAATGAGATATCATTTCTCGTATAAAAAATTTAAAACATTTTAAAAATGATCATACTCAATAGGTGAGAATTTGTGAGATGGGAATACTCCTACATTACTGGTTAGAATATAAATTGGTATAATTTTTGTTGCAGAAATGTAGTTATAACGTATTTAACAAAGTCTTGTAAAATTTAAGGCTAGTTTAGCCATTACTTTACTTAGTAAGATTAAAAAGGAAGAATAACTAAGAGCTTATGTACATCCACATACCAAGACTACTTTAAACAAAGACTTGTTTTAAGCTTAAAATAAATAGAGTCTTTGGACCTTAGAAGACATAAACAAAACGAAGGGAAAACTGATTAACTACATGAAAATAAAACATTTAGATCTCTATCCCAGTACAACAAACTGAAAATTAACATATAAAAATGTTTTTTTCATGCACAGCTGAGAAGACAGGATAGTAGGGAGCCAGAAACAAGAAAGTGCCAATCTACCAGTGGCAACAAGTCGAGAGCCAAGAGTATCTGCTAATCCCTGATAGCTTAGAGCAGAGGTCTGCCAACTTTTCTGTCCAACACTGGAGTTAATATTTTAGGCTTTGTTGGCCACAGTTTCTGTCACATATTCTTCTTTTTCTTTTTTTACAACCCTCTAAAAATGGTAAAAATTATCCTCAACTATACAAAAATAGGCCACAAACTATAACTGGTCCACCGTTAGTAGTTCACCAACTACATAGTACACTAATGGCTTAGAATGTAAATTTAACAAACCATGAGTAGAAGAGAAGAAACACAGGTAGGGTTTATGAGAATACGAGGTCCTATCAAAGGCACTATCCTCCCGCAAATTGGCACATGTCCAAATGGGTGGCACTCAGGGGATGAATTTTTAAAAAGGAAACTTGTCCAACAGAAGGCAACTTACCTGACTGGACTTCGGCTCTAAATAGAAAAGAAAAGAGGTATCACCTAAGAGTCCTAATCAAAAGCCCCAACTGGGGACTAGAAAATCACACGACCTGCATGACACAAAGTCCTAATATGAACTTCTGATTAAAAGATTATGCATAATGAAGCACAGAGCAACAGAAAATAAGAGGGGATAAGAGACATGGAAAATAAAGTGAGATGATTCAAGAAAGAGATAATAATGAGAACAGGAGAAAAGCAATATTCAAGGAAGTTTTTAAAAACTAAGAATTTTCCAGGATGGATGAAAAGACACAATCCTCAAATTCACTGGATCCAATGAAATATCAAGCAACTTAAACGAAAGGAAATCCATACCCAGACACATCATAAAGAAGAAAAATAAGAGTGTACAAACTTTGTGCTACTGTTTAAAAAAAAAAGTAGAGAACAACTCAATAAAACCAGGAAAAGGGGGAGAGGGGCAAAAAAAGGAAATATATAGAAACACAAGAGTGAGACAAGTAGAAATACCAAATATACAACATGATTCCAAATATATGAATAATCACAGTCAATATAAATGGATTTAACCCTCCACAGATAGAGATGAAGACTGTCAAACTAAATTAAAAAGAAAAATCTTGCTATGTGCTATTTACAAAAGACACAACCATAAGGACACACAAGTTGAAAGTCAGGCAAAGACATTACAAGAAGAAAACTATAGACCAATATCCCTTATAGATGCAAAATGCTCAACAAAATACTACCAAACTAATTCAGCAGCACATAAAAAGGATTTATATACCATGACCAAGTGGGTATCCCAGCATTGCAAGGATGGTTCACATTGAAAAATCAATCAATGTAATACTCTGTATCAGCAGGATGAAGGAAAAAAACATACGATCATCTCAAGATGCAGAGAAAATATTTGACAAAATCCAACACCCTTTTATGATAAAAACACTCAACAAACTAAGAACAGAAAGGAATTTCCTCAACGTGATAAAGGCCACCTATGAAAAACCCACAGCTAACACCATACTTAATAGTGAAATACTGGATGCTTTCCCCCTAAGAGCACAAACAAGACCAGGATGTCTGCTCTCACCATGTCTATTCAACATTGTACTGGCCAGGGCAATTTTAAGCAAGAAAAAGAAATAAAAGGAATCCAAAACTGGAAAGGAAGAAGTAAAACTAACTCTACTTGCAGATGACATGACCTTATATACAGAAAATCATAAGGAATCCACAGAACAACTATCAGAGATAATAAAAGAATTCAATAAAGTTGCAGAATAACAACATCAACTTACAAAAGCAACTGTGTTTCTATATTCTAGCAATGAACAATCCAAAAAGAAAATTAAGACAACAATTCCATTTATAATTGCATCAAAAAGAATAAAATACTTAGGAACAAATTTAACCAAGGAGCACAATGAAAACTAAAAAACATTGTTGAAACAATTAAAGAAGATCCAAATAAATGGAAAGACATCGCGTGCTCTTGGATTGGAAGACTTAATATTGTTAAGATCAGTAATACTCCCCAAATTGATCTAAACATTCAATGCAATCCCTATCAAACCTCCAACTTAAGGATTTTCTATATATAAGGTCAAATCAAAACCACAATGAGATACCACTTCATATCCACAAGGATGGCTATAATTTTTTTTTTAAAAAAAACAGAAAATTATAAGGGTTAGGCGAGGATGTGGAAAAATTGGAACCTTCATATACTGCTGGCAAGTATGTAAAATGGTGCACCTGCTCTGGAAAACAGTTTGTCCATTCTTCAAAAAGTTAAACAGAACTACTGTATGACTCAGCAACTCCACTCCTACATATATACCCAACAAAACTAAAAACAGTGCTCAAAAAAACTTCTTCACAAATAGCAGCTTATTCAGAATAACCAAAAAGTAGAAACATCCCAAATATCTATCACTGATAACAGACAAACAAAATGTGGTACATCCACACAATGGAATTCAGCCATAAAAAGAAATGAAGTACTGACATGAACTTGATGAATTTTGAAAATATACTAAGTGAAAGAAGGCAAACTCAAAAGACCACACACTGTTTATACGAAATGTCCAGAATAAGCAAATCTACAGACACAGAATTCAGATTAGTGGTTGCCAAAAACAGGGAGAAGGGGAGAATGAGGAATGACTGCTAATGAGGTTCTTTTGGGGGTGATGAAAATGTTCTGAAATTAGATAGTGTGGATGCTCACACAAAACTGTGAATGTACTAAAAGCCACTGAATTGTACACTTTAAAGAGGTTAAAATGATGAATCTTATGTTCTGTGACTTTTACCTCAAAATAAAACACACATGCAGTTGTGAGATAAATATAGGTGATTTTTTAAAAGAACCAATTAGATATCTTGGAAATAAAAAATATCAATGAAATTAAAAAAAAAAACAACTCAGTAGAATGGCTGAAGACACAGCAAACAGCCAATTAATGAGCTGGAAGGCTGGCGTGAGAAAGTCTCCCAGAAAGAACAACAAGAGCACAAAGAGAAAAAGTAAAAGAAATGTTAAGAGATATGAAGAACTGATCCAGAAGCACCACCATCAAGAATTCATTACGAGAGAATGGAGAAAAAGGAGTAACTGAAGAAACAGAACCCACGGACAGGGATCCAAGATTGAAAGGGCCCAAGAGGTCCCAAGCAGGATAAATTTATTATCTACTAAATTAGTGGACACTTCAAAATTTCTGAAAATCAAGACTAAAACTAAATTCCTAAAAGCTACCTGAGAGAGGAACACTCAGTGTATCAGCTTCACAACCTACTTACTTCACAACTTACAACTTACTTAAAATGAGACTCTCCAAGTACAAGTGACAGAATGATAGTGACTCGAAATCACACAGCTGTTAGAAACATCAAATAAGATCGATAGAAGTACCCCTATTAAGACAAGCAGACAACAGACATCATACGCACTAATAATGCCAGTAATTCCGTAATTATAAGATGAGCTTTTTTCACATATTTCTAATGAAGATGTTCCCCACAATTTATATAGTTATTTCATTAGGCAACGTTCTTTTTCCAGAAAACTTATTTCAAAATCAAATACGCATCTTCCAATCAATGACATCTTAAAATCAAGGAAATATAGTAATATCAATATTTAAATAACTATTAAGTAGTAAGCACATGTATGATCCCACTTCACAACTATCTTATGTGCTAAATACTATTATCCCCACTTCTTGGATGAGTAAACTGAGACGTAAAGATGTTAAGTAATTTGCCCAAGGTGACAGCTAGGAGTAAGAATTGGGAATCAAGCCCAAACATAACTCCACATTCTGAAACCTTAACCACTGAATTATGTGTAAACTATAAAATATTAAATAATGATTTATTACTACAACATCTACTTACTAAATGCCCCAGACTGCTTTCCATTTGACTTGCTACGCCTCCTGCATTGTCCAGTGTTTGTCTTTTCCCTCACTATCATACGATTGATTACTTCTTGCTGCTTTCACTTACGTGCAATCTTCAACAGAATTCTCCACCTTTTTCTCCCTATGTCTGTCTACTGTTCTAATGTCCTTTCAACTGCAACACCAGATAACAACCTTGTTTGACCCACAGATCAACAAATTTTAAAGGACTATAAGGTATTCTCATGAATAAAGTCTATGACCTTAAGAGCAGTGTTTGTCAAATTTTAATGTACACAAAAATCTCCCTGGGATCTTATTAAATGCAGATCCTAATTCTGTAGGTCTGGGGTGGGGTTTGAGATTCTGCATTTCTAACAAGCTCAGCATAGCAAGGCTTTGGTACTGAACTATGTAACACCAATTCTGTTTGCTTTAGTTTTTCTGATTATTGACTACATCTACATAGGTAAAGTTGATAATGTTGATTGTATAATTAATGTAGAGCCCCTCATGAATCAGATTTCCCAGGCCCATAATGCAGTAAGTTTCTTTTTTTTTTCTCCCTTTTTCTCCCCAAAGCCCCAGTAGATAGTTGTATGTCATAGCCGCACATCCTTCTGGTTGCTGTATGTGGGACACCGCCTCAGCATGGCCAGACAAGCGGTGCGTCGGTGCGCACCCGGAATCCGAAGCCGGGCCGCCAGTAGCGGAGCGCGCGCACTTAACCGCTAAGCCACGGGGCCGGCCCCCTGCAGTAAGTTTCCATTTAAGTTTCCTAACCTTTTTCAATAGCTGATCTGCACTGAAAGGTGAATAACTACCACTACTACCATCATCATCATAAAAATTATTATAATTAATAATGTAATAGTAACAACAGCTATAATTTATTAAGCACATACTATGTGTCCCACAGGCTAGGCATTTCAATGTTTTACTTTAGCTAATCCTTTAAATAACATTGGGAGGTAAATATTCGCATCCCCAAGGTTCACACCGTCATAAATATTTAAGTTCTTTAACCCTGCCCCAAAGTGCTTGGAAATGATATAAACAGTATCTTCTGAAAGTTAACTGAAAAATCAAAACATCATGGATTAAAGCATTGATAACAGAAGTCACCTAAAAGAAATGTGACTCCTAAACTGACAAAAGCCAATATAACCAGTTTGACTACATTTACAGCTAAAAAAAGAAATGTATCAATTAGGGGAAAGAGGTGAAGGTGCAATAAAAGGAGAATAACATTGGCAAACAGTTGGCTTTAGCCAAAAAACTTGAGCATTCCATTCCTATTGACAAAATGCCTTCTCTACTGAAAGATGGATGCAGTGGGTTTATAAAACATGGGATGGCCTAACTTGCTTAGTCTGATTCCATGGTTACCAAGAAACACAATCTTTCATAGAAATTATTAACTATGAAGACTTTGAACAGTTTGTTGATGGATATTTCTCACAGTATACTCGTTTTATACAGTGGTCACATCAGTTTCAATAATGTACATTTATATACCCTTAAGATATGTATGAACACATTCTCACATGTGAGGCTGAAGGGCAGTAAATTCACCAAGATGTCTACCCTGTGAAACCCAATAGGAGGAAGCCTCCAGTCCTAAGCCCTGCTGGACACCAAGGGGTTGAAGAGTTTTTACTTGAAAAGCAGATCTCTTAAAACATACCTCATCTAGGATTTCTCTATTTCTTTGTAGTAGTTCAGGTAGCTCTTTGATCAACTGATCAACAGTCTGGATACCACCCTGTTCAACCACAGATGCGGACTTAGTCAATATAGACTGAGGTACAGTGTCTCCAGACACATCTTCAATTGCTGCTGGAAGATTAAGGGAAGCTAACACCCTGAAAAAATAAGATACTATGTCATCTAGAGGTCTAAACCACCTTTAAAACATTAATCTCCTATATCCAAATCAACAGCAATGGAGTTAGCACCCCAAAAAAGTAGAGAAGCCCCATCAATGGAAAAATAAAGCAAAGACAAAGGTAAAAACAGAAAAATCAGCGGTTGATAAAATTAAGACAAAATCATTAAAGAATTAAGTTCACTGCGCATAATTAAAAGCCAAAAAGAAGTATACATTGAAATATACTAGATACCTTTGGCTCCCAGCTCAAACTTAACTTCTTTTAGTCTAAGTAATTAAAAGTCAAAACATCTATCTTAAATGCAATCTTTTATCACACTCCTGATTGTTATAATGTCACTGACAAATCAGAAACAATATACAAAATAGTTATAATTTCCTATCATCTAGGCATAAGGCCAAGAGAACATAGTTGACCTAGGTACTAATTACAGAATCTTCATCTCTTCTCAGTTTTGTGGCACAGTAACAATTACTCTGTTATTTCATTACGTAATGGAAGGGATGTTAGAGTAAACTTACATTGCTTTCTTGCCAGAAAAAGCAAAACGAGGTCAAAATCCATGCATTCGTCAAAATTAAAAACACGAAAAAGCAAATCAAACTAGGAAAAAATATTCTCAATTTCATGTAGCTGACAAAGGATGTGCCTCTAAAATACGTAAAGAACTCTTTAAAGATTAATGAGAAAAAATCAATTTTAATAAATGAGCAAAAGATTTAAACAGATACTTCACAAAAGATGTATAAATGTCTGATAAGCACATCAAGAGTTATTCAACATCGTTACTAGTTAGGGGAATGCAAATTAAACCACAACAAGATACTGCTAGACATAGACTAAAATGGCTAAAATTAGAAAGACTAACAATACTAAGTGCTGATGAGGATGCAGAGCAACTGCATTTCTCAAACAGTGCAGGAAGGAACATAAACTGGAACCACCACCTTGGAAAACAACCTGGGGGCCTGCCCCGTGGCGTAGCAGTTGAGTACGCACACTCCACTGCTGGCGGCCCGGGTTCAGATCCCAGGCGCGCACCCAAAATACTGCTTGTCAGGCCATGCTATGGCGGCGTCCCACATAAAGTGGAGGAAGATGGGCATGGATGTTAGCTCAGGGCCAGTCTTCCTCAGCAAAAAGAGGAGGATTGGCAACAGATGTTAGCTCAGGGCTGATCTTCCTCACAAAACAAAACAAAACAAAAAAAAAAAAGAAAACAATCTGGCCATCTTGTATGAAGTTAAACATACACTAACCATACAACTCAACAATTCTAATACTAGGTATTTACCCAAGAGAAATAAAACATGTCCAGACAAATATTTGTAAATCAGTGTTCATACCAACTGAAATGTCCACCAACAGGTGAAAGAATTAACAAACTGCTATTTGACCATAATATGGAATACTGCTCATTAAGAAATAGGATTGGGGGGGCCGGCCTGGTGGCGTAGTGGTTAAGTTCGCACACTCCACTTCGGTGGCCTGGGGTTCACAGGTTCGGATCCCGGGCGCAGACCTATGCACCACTTATCAAGCAATGCTGTGGCA